ATTTATACAATGAAAATCAATCAAGTATATTGATTTTTTTTAAAAATATCTTTTATTTACCATCATCATCATCATCATCATCATCATCATCATCATTATGATTATCACCATTATATTATCATACAGTACATTTTTATTTAGGTAGGCATCATTAAACTTTACCATGTTGCGTTGTTTATCTGATTAACCATTTCGAAATGGTTTATTGTGCCAATGGGTTTTCCAAGTAATCGGGGGATCGATTAAACTTAACGATCAAGATTTCTATTTTTAATCGCTTAATACCGTAATTGTCATCTGAATTTTCAATCGCCGTTGATCCTTATTAATCTCGCTGAAAATTTTTCTTCGTTTAATTTTGCGCTTGCGGTTACCGTTTATTAATTACAGTAGTTCGTTATGTACACGATAAAACTTGATGCGGCGGATATCATATATGACAGAAGCTGCGGTGGTAAACATCTCGGTATAGTGGAATGGGTCCGAGTCTCGAGACAATTATTATTTCTTGACATATTCGTGACCGATAATGAATTCCAGTAATCAATTATCAAATTATAATCAAAAATTCTTTCTTAGGCGTTTTTCATCTCATTTCAGTTGTAATACTATCATATTGTACATTTCGGATAGTTGTCGTGTGAGAATTTAACGAAAGAAAGAAAATAAAAAAACACGAATACATTATTGAATAAACATTGACATGACGAGGTCATCATTCGATTCATGAATCCCGAGTTCTGTACCGGAGAATCGCGAGGTAAATGAGAGATAAGGTTATTCCACTTAATTCTTTATAATGATAGGTTCTGAAACATCATGAGTCGCGTTGCATTTTTAATGTCACGTGCAGAAAAAATGATCTTTCGTCGTTTAGCAAACATTCGAGTCAAACTTGGCTTGATACACCAGAGCCTTCAAGACCAATAGAGATGCTGCAATGCATCATATGCATTGTGGATCTCCGGAAATCTGCTTCAGGTTCTTTGTTGCGCATGAGTGGTGGTGATACATTGTTTGTCGATACATCGGACTTTCGCGAGTGCGAATGTCGCACCAATTGACTCACGACTATAAGTCCAAATATGGTTAAAGTTATTCAGTGACATTGTTTTTTGTTATACCAATTCACAAAATTTTAAGATACGCATTGTCAAATTATTGTAATTAAAGTCAAAATTCATGATAAAGAAACATCGAGCTTCTGACTTTGCACAGCCCATCATTTTCGTCATCAATGTCAAACAAACAGCATATGGTATCATGATTTTAACAAAGAAAATTTTTATTAAATCAGAATTCGGGGAATAACATCCGGTATTCACGCAGGACAATTATTGTTCACATGATTCGGGTCCCCAGAAGCGTACCAAAGATTGAAACGCCTTGATTTTAAAGATCGATTGGAAAGATGGATGTTCATATTCGGCCTCGTTCCAATAATTTTTTTAAAGCAGAGGAGCATTGATGACAAATTCAACATACGATAATTGGATCTAGACAAGTTGGAGATAAAAAACGAATAGAGAATTTACGTACAAGATGAGTTCATAACATTGTCACTCCGTGATATCAATTATAATGATCCGATAATTGGGGCTTTGGAGAAAAGGATTATCCGATTAAGGACAAGATAAAATTATCCGGAAATCGCGGTTTGCCCGTGACAATTGGGTAAAATGTTATTACGCTCCTCATTAAAAATTGCATCCGAATTATTGTACGACCGAAAAGTTTCGAGGCCTGCCGGGCTTTAGTAAATACTGTATGTAGCAGTCTGCATAGATTCAAAACAGACCGTCAAAATATTTATTGTTATTATCATTACTGTATGTTGCTTTATTATTGTTTTAATTCCAGAAATGGCGTAGAAGAAATGGTCGATTTTATTGGCACCCTCTTATGCACAAAGAATTTTGTTACATCGGATACCATTTACAGTTGCGCGTCGGGCAACTATTCTTCGAATAATCAAGTTGTTGTGAAAGAGAAAAAAGGGTAATTCACGAGTGCTGAAGTTGATAACGACGCAGGATAAGAATTGTAATCCAGAAAACAATGCAAAGGAAGATATAATGGGGAAGTGAGCCCAGGGTAAAGTACATTGTGTGCTGC